TATCAGAAATGCACAAATAATAAAATTACTGACGATGGCTGGATAAAATTGTAATATCCCTAGACTTTTCCGGTGTGTTTAGTTTAAAATTCCAGAAAAAATATTTTTCGTTCTATTCTTTTTTAATCTTTCTATAATTAGGGTGAATTTTTGACAAGTTTAATGTTAATTTTTAGTAAACGAATTTCAATAGAAGGTACCTAAATTGGAATTTACCCGGTATAGCCTAATATGTACAAGCCTAACCAATCTCCTTATTATCATTGAATATTTTACTTTACATCCATTAATTTTTGTTAAATTAACGAATCACAGCCACCTAGTATTTACCAAATAATAAAGATCTACTACTGTAAAATTATAAAAATAAAAATATCTAGGAAAATCTTTACCTAGATTAGAGGGCAGGCAACCTTAATAGTATTTTGAAGATATGTCAATAATTCTCCATTGAATATAGGAATAATATACTGGATGTTCCATTTAAAATAAAGGAGTAAATTGCTTTTAAAAGCGACCATTGTTCAATTTTAATTTTGTCTTACCCTGTATAACTTTTCTGATTAAATTTTAATTTAGTTTAATATACAATGGATATTTTAACTAAATATCAGGCTATACAGGGTAAATTACTATATAGGTAGCTTTTATTGAAATTTAAAATTTACTCTTCATTTTCACAAAATGTAAAATATCGCAAGTACCTTACATTTTAGGCATATGCTTCTTTAATGAAACTCACCTTGATTTTTTTCGTAAAATCAAAACATCAATTAATATATAGGGTGTTTCATACATATTTATTATACATATGCTCTCAAAATTTCACTTCAATATAAACTATACTGCTTTCCTTGAGAGGCGCCACCCTGTACTATTACGGTTAGCTAGACTGGATTGTGACAATTTCGATGCTCAACATTGGTCTCTCGAAGCCTGTAAAAAAAAGCCTTTTTCATTTTTTGATTAAAATAAGATCCTTTCATTTGCAGCCTTAGATTAACAAATTGGTAGCCCAAAAAGTATTTTTTTTTGATGGGGTGACGTTACTTTTCTTTTCTTCACCACTAATGTGTACTTATACCAGCCCATTACCCAGGTATTAAACCTAAATGCGTACCGATCAGAATCGTACCTACTAATAGCCTAACTTTTATCGCTTGGCGCGGTAATTGGCTGCTGTTTTATCCACCCAATACAGCCACCAGAAACCGGAGTGAAAAAAATCGAGGCTATTATTACGCCGACCTTTGTTGGCAGCATTGTTTTCCTGCCAGCGGCCCACTCGCTAAAAAATGTCACTGCTGCGGCTGCCGATGCCGTGGATATGCGCGGAATGTAGAGCAAATAGCATCAGATAGACCGGCGTGCATTGCTGTATCTATCGGTCCTGCAATAGGGCTTGCGAAAGAATATACAAAGGAATAGAATCGTTTAGGAGTCGGAGATACGGCTTTGTGTGTAATTGGGCACGCTTCTAGATGGTTTGCGTCGATATAAATGCCGAAAAGTAGAAAGAGATATAGTAAATTACTTCCTTGAGTCTTCGAAACTTTGAAATCATCTAATATTAAAAAAGGGTTCAGCAATAGTGCGTCGGGCATCTGTAGATGTCTGTAGCTCCTAGAATAAAAATCTTGGGAATTTTGTTTAAGTGCTTACCTAAAGTATGTAATAGGATTATTTCAGGAAAATATTTTAACTTCTATAGGTTGGCTCAAAAAAGTGTGAGTGGAGCGGGATGATTTTTTACAAGGTACACTCTGTATATTATTGCATATTTGACTTCTTTTTTGATCACTGTACTCCAATAATTGCTAGTCCAAAGATATGAGTAAATATATTTTGATAGTTTTAGAGATATTAATAAATAAATCAAAAATATATATTTTTCAGCCTTTTTTATAAAATTATTAAAAATACAAGAGCTGTCCTGAAATCGAAACTATATTAGGTATTTACTTTAGATGGTCTGTATTTTCTTTGCTCTAAATATGGTAAACGTAAATCATACAGGATGTTCAAAATTCTACGCCAAACTTTCTAAAATATAAAATAATTTTTCTTCATTTCTTTAATGGAACACCCTGTATATTATTTTTTCAATATATGCAGAATAAAAAATGAACATTTTTTGTATTTAGAGTATTTCAAAATTTTTAACGATTTCGTAGATATTCGCCGTTTTTATTTCATATGGCATTTTTCAAAGTAAAGTTTTATCATAGTTTAAGAAAAAGAGTTGTTGCACTCTCGCAAATATTTTCTGGCAGTTTTTGCAATCTGTAGAATATCGGCAGATTGCAAAGGGTTTCAGTTGAATTGCGTCCGTCGAGCTGCGAGGTTCGAGCGTTGCTTCCCAGCACAGAGACGGATTGACAAAAAATGAGTGCCTTACTGTGTGCTGCTATTAATTGTAGTAATAATTCAAAAAATTATTCTTTGAGTTTTTTTTAGATTTCCATCGGATATAAATCGGCAAGGTGATAGTAATTATCAATAAACATTTAATTATATTTGTTTATTTTAGAAGCTGAGATAGTATGTAATTAATTAAATGTTATTATTTTTTTAGCATGTGGGCAGATTTTAAAAATAGTTTTTTAGATATACAGGTTGTCTCAAATATGCACATGAAAATATTTTTTGGTCAGGGGATTTGCCATAAAATTTTCATTCCAATAATAATTTACGAGATAATTTATATAGATTGGTTTTTGAAACAATTTTAGAGTAAATATTTTGTACATCTAAAGTCTCCGCAAATTATTCATATTTTTTAATTGAAAGAATTTTATAATAGCATAATCTCTTATAAATTTAGTGAACTGTATTTATTTATATTTTTTTTTATTTATTTTTTATTATAAGTGGTCGTAATATAACAATATTCAAAATATTATAGACAAAATATTGAGTTTATATTTGAGGGAAGAAAAGTGCCACACCTAGATTTAAACCACCGTAAATATACAGGGTGGCCCATTAGTGCGAGTAAGTCCAATATCGTCGTCATTGTCGAAGATGTGAAAAAAGTTTTATTCATATGTTTCAAGGTTTATAAAGGGGCGTATCCAAAAATATTTTGGTATATACAGAGTGTCACAAAAAATTATTATTAAAATGTAATTATTTTACATCATTCTATATACATTATTCTATATAGGGTATTTTTTATGGCGTCCCAAAATCGGAATATTTAAAGTGGTATATCTCAATTTTTTTAAATGCAACATTCTGTATATTATTTTTCTGTCAGATGCAGAATTAAAAAGTGAACATTTTTTTATTTAAAGTGTTTCTAAATTTTTAACGGTTTCGCAGATATTCGCAGTATTATGGCTGTTTCAACAGTAAATTTTTATCAAAGCCACCTAATATGATCTTTGTCTGATATTTTATCGTTGAAAATCCCATATGTAATGAAATTATGAAAATATTTGCAAAACGGCTAAAAATTTAAGAACACTTTAGACACAAAAAATGTTCACCTTTTAATTCTACATCTGAAAGAAAAATAATATACAAGGTGTTGCATTTAAAAAAAAATGAGATACAACATTTTAAATATTACGATTTTGGTGACGCCATAAAAAATACCCTGTATAAGATAAAGTGAATTTTTCTACACAAATTTATTCTGGTATCCTTCATGTTTAAGAAAACATAGCTAAGTATTAATAAAGTTATATTCACTCTAGTTTTTTACCACTTTTCGTATATAATGTTTTTAACCAAAGTTTTAGTAAATAAGAAATAGAATGGCAACACCGCAGTGTGCTTTAAATAAAGAGATTAAACTTGTTTTTAAAATCAAAAAAAGTTGTAGAAAATCTCTGAAATAGATAATAATATAAAAATATGTCATTATATATTTTTCCGCATTCTTCCCATCAAAAAAGATTTACAGGTACAGAAGAATTGTTACCTACACGAAATGTGAAAATATTCTGTTTTCAAGCAGTTTTTACTCCATGATCAATTTTTATTTTATTTTATTTTTTGGTAACTCATATTTTCCCTAAATACATATCTGTGAAACTATGGCCAGTGCCACGACTATACTTTGTTAATAGATCACGACTAGTTAATAGGCCACGACTATACAGCTACGTCAGTGGTCACGGGAGAGCAGAACAAGGTCATATAAAGTGGCAGAAAAGAACAAAAGATTTGACAAAGGAGTAAAGCTACTAGTTTTCTTATACTATGGTTTTGTCAAAGCCACCCAATGATTTTTCTCTCGTATTTTACCGTTGAATGTGCCATATGAAATAACTGGTTACTGGTTATTGGTATCTGCGAAACCATTAAAAACTATGAAATACTTTAAATACTAAAAAATATTCATTTTTCAACTCTCCGTCTAATAAAAAATAATATACAGGGTGTTGAAAAAACAAAGAAAAATTATTTTATATTTTAGAAAGTTTCGCCTAGAATTTTGAACATCCTGTATGATTTAAGATTAAGATATTTATAGCAAAGTAAGTATACACCATCTAAAGTAAGTAGCTAATATAATTTTGATTTCAGGACAGTTATTTACAGACTTTATGTCACAGTGGCTGTGGTAATCACTAAATTTGACGTTTAGGCTATACAATTTTTTTAACAGGCAGTTTTTCCTCCAAAAATTTTAAATATGTTTTTTTCTTAAAAACGGTTAATGTTTGGTATAGAGTGTTTGATATCAAAATTCATAAAATTTTATAGATCATTTCAATATGTTTATAAAAAAATTAAGATAGCCATTTAAAATAAGAAAGTTGCTGACAACTTCCGATATTTCCGGAAGTGCCGCCATATTAAAAGTTATCTATAGATCTCGGAGATATGTAAAAAATCTCCGATCTAGATATGGCTGTTCACCAGAAACTACAAATGCTCGCTCAGCTTGCGACACCCTGTATATGGTGTATATTAACAACTATATTTTAGATATTTTCAAGACAAAACCCTAAAAATGAAACAACCAGTTATAATGATAAATAATCATTTTTGACAGATACGTATGTCATAAGAAAATAATATTTTTTGTCATTTTGTTATGCGTTTTTTTTGTTGTATTTTGAGATTTCTTAAAACTCGCGCTTTTTTGTTTCCTTTTTTTTTGAATAGAATATACGATGTCCCTGAAAACTGAAAATCCCCAAGAGAAGAAGATCAATATCGATTTCAGCAATACGAGAAAACAAAGTTTTTTGCCCAGCCAGTGGAATGAGGATAGGCAAGACAATACCAAAAATATCAAAGTACGTCCCTATATTCTTTTATATACCTACCAATCTTTTACAAAATAACCATATTTTCTATATATTAAAATATGTTTTTCTTTATAATAGTACTAGTTGACGGCTAATTAATTAATCACTGTTTAGCCTTTAAACAAAGTTTATACAAACGGTGCAAGTGGGCGTTAATGTTAGTTCTATTTATTATTTATAAAAAACAAAACGCACATCATAGACAAACAAATAAAAAGAGACTGGCAAATCAAATGGCAAAGAGAGGGACAACGTTCCCGTAGCGCAACTCAGTATGCAAAATTTCGTTCTATTTATGTTGATCTGCGCATTGCGTCTATTGGGCCCACTATCTCATTCTAGTATAACAAGAGAGAAAGAAGCAACCATATAAAACGTAATTTCTAAACAGAAATTAAAACAATCGCCTTTCGTTTTCGTCATCATGACAACCAAGATGACAACATCATGACAATTCGTCATGTTTGTTAATTTTCCTTTTGGTGATTTACCTTTTTTTCTAAACTCTCCATTTTATTGACTTATGAATATGGATAGGGAACAAATTCCTTTGTTCCATATAGGTATTTATATTTTGTTACTTATAATTTTCGATTATACTATTTGTTATTTTATTTGCTGCAGGAGCCAGTATCATCTATTTTTTATATGTATTGGTGCCCCCTTTCTCTGATAGATATGTTAAAGACACCCGGTAAAATAAAAGTAAGTAGTTATATTTATCATCTTATTAAGAAAAAAGTGGAAGTAGTAGTGTCAAAAATATTTCGAACCTCTCTTAACATAACAAATTAATACAATTATTTTTTTTAATTTTTTGGGTAGGTAGTTTATAGCTGGTTTATAGTAACCAGAAACTTCATTAATATACCTATTTTACTTTTGTTTTAGGATTAAAATTGGACTTGAAAATGGTTCAGGATCATGATTCTCGTAAAGTCTTCTCTGCTTGGATATTCACTTTGTTATTGCAATTAGGCAGTTTTTTCAAAAATGAGATTTTTAATGCCCTTTAAAAAAATTGGCCGATCGTTTCCTGCAACAGTCAGTTCTTCTGCATTTAAAATTGGTAGGTGGGTGGAATAAACACTGTTATTTTTTGTTATTATATTATAAAAAGTTTATTTTTTTATGTATAAATAAATATGTTTATAAAACAGTACAATTTTGTTTTTTATAATTTCCTTTATAATAGTAGTATTCTTTCGTTCTGAAAGAAACTGCAAATTTTCACTTAAACTGATTTATTCCCTACACCACGTTCCCTTTACGTGGTATAGAGAATAAATCAATTTAAGTGAAAATTTTCAGTTTCAGAATGAAAGAATACTACTAATAAAGGCTAATTTAAATTTTCCGCCAGCCAGAATGTGCGATAATGTCTTACGATACGTTTTATACCTATCTCTTTCTTTTTCATATAAAGCACACATAATAAAGAAAGATAGCAATAAAGACGTACGTCCTGCCATCGTCCTGCTAATTGGTTTCAAAATTGTTATTCTGAGTTGCGCTACGGGAACGCGATCCCACTCTTTACCATGAGATTTGTCAGTCTCTTTTTATTTGTTTGTCTATGACGCACATCTATATTGCATAGTAACTTAAACGCACCCTGATAATTTATTAATTCGCAACAATGAAAGTAGAACTGATAGATCCTTTTAAATCAATTATTCTTTAGAAATTGGACATGAAACACATCTGCTGTTGGATAAAATTTTGTATGGCACTCGCGTGTTATAACATATAAGTCACTTGAGTGCTAAACATTTCCCAGCGTGACTTATATGTAAGATAACACAGTAGTACCATAAATAACTATTTGTCAATCTTACAATACGGACAACTGATTGACTAAATGATCTGTAATGATTAAGATTAATCGATTTGACTTTTTGGAGTGTATCAATATTTTTATTACCGTAGGTAATAGAACTACAAGATGACGATGACGACACGTTTTTATATATAGAGCCCCCAACAGCCCATATAACCAAACCTCTAGAAACTTTTTGTACGAATAGCAAATATCTGGGACAGTGGAACAGACTAGGAATAGCTGGCAAAGGTATGTTAAGGGTAAAGTTATCATGATGCTCATTACACCTGATGTAAACCAGGTAGATGGTTTTTTTATTATTAATACTGCATACTTAGAAGATTTGTTATTTGATCCATAACTTAATCCAAATGTTCTTTATTTGGATTAACTAATCATAAATCAAAAGTAAATAATATTTCGATTAACTAACTGTTCATTATTGCAGCGAATACACTGAGATGCAAAAAAACGCAACGGAAAACATTTATGGTCAAGTTTAAAGTGTTATATTTTTTATTTTTAACCCTAATTTATTGATTTTTTTTAGCAAACTCTATATATTACAGTTGAGGGTTGTAACCTTTGGTGTTACACAGCAAAATAAAAACATTAAATCACCACAATACACCAAAACACTTTTACTTACTTTAGCTAACCGAGTCAGAGCTCACTGAGCGTAACAGTTTGATTTCCGCCACTATAGTAGGAACAAAGAACTTGAAGGAATTGGACCGTTGTCGCTGTTCATACTATCTTTACATTTATTAATGCTGATGCTTTCATATGCATCTAATTGCCTGTAATTTGAGACTTGTTTAATTAATTTTAAATTATTAAGATCTATACAATGTTCTTTATCAACAATATGTTCGGCAACGCAAGATTTATCCGGCCTACCATATCTTATCTGAGCTAAATGTTCTTTAAATCTAGTTAGTATTGATCTTCTAGTTTGTCCAACATATTTCTGATTACAATCTTTACAAGAAATTTCATAAATATCCGACCTTTCCAGTGGAGGTGTTTTATCCTTTGAATTACCTAATAATTGTTGTAATTTATTATTAGCACTATACACAAGTTTATAATTGACATTCTTAAAAATTCCTTTTAGACCACGGGATAACTCTCTATCAAACGGTATAACATCAAAATCAAATATATCATGTCAAAAAACTCCCAGACACCAACTTTCATCCAAATATTTACGTTACTTCATAAATTAATTACTTCGGAAAAAATCGAAATAAAAATGAACCTTCTACGCCCTGTATCTCTGAAACTAAGCATTTTAAGGCATACATTTATACGAACTTTTTTACTTATTTTTATCTGCAGAATATGCTGCCGAAGTTTCCGGAATACAGTTCGGACCACCCTGTATACTGCCGTCCTAAAAACACATGCCGTATCTACAACGAGCGCCAAGCGGAGAAAAATGAGGTTAAAATTATTTGATTAGTCCTTGACTATTAGGAAAATTTAGAAGATAACAATCGTGAATTATTGAACAAAATAAGTATAAAAATAAGTTAAGTACTCAAAAATAATCGTATTTATTAACATTAATTTAAAAAATCATTTACGGCGTTTTGAACTAAAATTTTATGGCCTTTATGCAAAACAAAAATGCCGTATGTGCGCAAAACTCTCAATAGATTGACAAAAATGTATAAATATTTATTTTTACTTTGAATAAGACTATAGATTAATTTTTTAATGTGCTTTATTAGGTGCTTTATTAGGTTATAATAATATGAAATAATCGCAAATATAAACAGTTAGAAATTACAAATACAAACAGTTAAAAAATTCGACAAATAATTTCTAATTTCTTACTAAAACATAACACACTAACTTAAACTTTAACGCTTATACAAAAAGGCACACAATAACAAATTGCAAAAAATTTCAAAAGTTCATTAGTTATCAGTTTCGGGCAAATTTATCCAAAACTCTTTTCGGTTCTCTGGCATTATGTTACCAAGATTTTTAATGATGGCATCTTTTTTTGTTTTCGGAAAACCTCTAGGTGCAGTACGACGAAGTGGCACAAATTGTGAAAAAATACCACCCTTTGTCATTGCCTTTTTGTATAGGAAATCTAATTTTTCAAATTCGTTGTTTAAAGAAGATTTATAATGTAAAAAAAATGACCCACGAGTAGCTTTTATTTGTACAATATCGCTTAAATAAATTCTTTTTTTTTGTTGTTTCATTTTTGCCTCAGATTTAAGGTCTTTCCATTGGTAAAAATCGTGATGAGACATTATTTTTACTTCAGTTCTCGATTTTTGTGCCTTTTGTACAGCTTCTACAAAATCATTAAAATCGTATACCTTGCCTTTCCTTTTTAGTGATAGCTCCACCTGGTGGTGGAAGCTATCGGCGGACATGAAAGTATGCCCGGGCTCAAAAAAATTGATTAATATTTCGCTAGCCAATATTTCAGAGGAGTTTATTATCCTAACAAAGAAAGAAAGAAGACACCAATTTTTATTTTGGCTGGAACAATTATCCAGCCAAAGAATAATTTTTGGTGCGTCTCGATGCTTTAGAAAAAATGCATAAAAACAGCTTACAATGTCTTCTTTGTCCCTACCTGATATAGCTTCATTCCAAAGCACTGCAAACGGTTTTTGTTTTGACATAATTCCTACTGGGACAAAGCTTTCGTTATAAGTTGTAAGTCTTTTAATAAACAGAACTGTTTTAAAAGTATCGACCCTGGGCAACATGATCACCTTCTGCAAGTCCACGGAGAAACAAACAGTACCATCTTCAAACTTAGTTTTGGCATGCGTCTGGTATAATTCTCTGGAGTCTTTGGCGTGATCAATGTGCTTCTTCCAAGAGCAGCACTTTTCACAATTTTCTTGCAAATCATCCTTCGTGTGATCATGCAATTTGAATTCTTCACAGCGTTCACATTCCTCGTGTCCTAATGAAGCAAATGAAATATTTTTGACCTTAACACGTAAACGATAAGCTTCGTAGCTAACTTTCATGGTTGGGTATTGGGATTTAAATAACTCAAACATTACAGAAACGGAAATGTCGCTCGGCAGATATCTTCGATTTGGAGCGTGTTCTCTCCTAAAATGAAAAATAAAGTTTTTTTTAACTTTGAGGATAATAATTTCTTTTCTAATAATCTACATACCTATAATGTGATATAGATGGTTCAAAAGATTCTATGTGCGCATCTACCAATTCATAGTTTATTTTTTTCTTGGCTGATCTTGTCCGTTGATCTGGTCTAGCATTTAACTGGTTTCTTGGGATTTTCGTGAGAGTATCGTGTAAAACCCTGTCGTTCGTTTTTTTGTACCCAAGCGTTGTGAGGAAAATTTTTTTACAGACTTCTATGATTTCACCATTTGCAGCTTTTAATTTGTATTTAAAGGTGTTTTGTTTTCTTTCGCTTTCAGTAGTTCGCCGTTTTACATTCAATCGACTGCATGTATTTAAAATAAACCCTTTTCTCTCCTTGCTAGATAATTTCCAAAAACTAGCGTTTAAAATTGTTCGTTGATCTTCTGGTATTAGCTTCACACACTTTTTTTTGCATCTATTCACGTTACAACCAGGCAACACCTGGTGATCTTTAATTAGTTTTTCTCGTTTTTTTATAAGTTCTTCTTGCTTAGAAATTTTATCTATTTTTCTTCTTTTCCTTAAATTGCCATCTTTTGTATAACCGATGTTTTCCAATTCTTCTGTTTGCGATTCATTATTTAAAATCACTTGGTTATTTACTATCTGGCATGGCACATCAACTTTAATAAATTGGGATCCTGTGTCATTTGCAGTTTTTCCTTGGTCCAAACTAATACTTTGAATGGTAGGTTCCTGAGGTAAATTTTCCACATTATTTTCTAATAGTACTACATTTGTTAAGTTAGTTAGCACTAGGGGCTCTTTATTTAAAATTTCCGTAGGATAAAGGCTTGGCTCTGGGTTCGGTATTATTTCTGGCAAAACATCTTTGATCGCACAATTTAAAGTAGTCAGAAGACAACCATCTTCAGTTAAAACTTCTATATTCTGCTGATTAGGTGTTGTAGCCCAAGTGTTGTTATCGGGAACGGGGGGTTCTTTCGAAACCAAAGAAAGAATTTTCTGAGTTCTACTTAACATTTTCCTGAAAATATGAAACGAGAGTTACTAACAATAAAAGCTGAAATTAAACAGCCATCGGACGACAGCTTACTTAAAGGCCGACAACACATTTTAATATAATTATTGTTTTTTTGAAAAAAAAAACAAACAAGCCTACGAATTTAAACTGAAGTATTCTTTATAAACAGAATATAACTTATTTAGTAACCTTAAGAAGTATTCTTACTTAACAATACGTCGCATCGTAGTATTTTAGAATAGTTTTTTTGGGTAATTCGCTTACTAAATTACGGAAAGTATACATACCTGCCCTATATTATCCAAAAATGCGAAAAACTTGAAAAATGTAACACAGAAAACTAACCCTTGACGCTTGAAGAAATACACTGTGACAGAATTCGGCGATTAATTGATTATGGCGCATAACCGACGTAACTAATAGCAAATTGCCGTATCTGACAGGTTCTAACTCGAAAGGCGGTATCTACACAGTTGTGGAAGTAGATACGGCATTTATTACTGGTAACAAGCATATACCGCGTTATTTCTTAAAACAGAATAATAATTTGGTAGATACGGCCATTTATTACGTGCGATTTCAAATATTTCGAAGGCATATACGGCATATAGGCTTGGTAAAAAGTTAATTTAGCTTGTTACTGATCCATTGATGTAAAAATCTCAAAATCCGTTTTTTTTGTAGATACGGCATGTGTTTTTAGGACGGCAGTATAGTGGGGCATCACGATGCGTTACAATAAAATTAGTTAAATAGTTTTTTTTTAATAACTGACATACACAGTTTCTTTTTACTAGTTTCCTGTAGGTACCATAATATTTTACACATTATAAACAAAAAAAGCAATTAAATATATGAGAAATATTCTAAAGGAGTGTACCGGTATCCTCATGGAACGATCTACGACGGGTACTTCAACAGGAATGGCGAATTCCATGGGAGCGGAATTTTGATTTATCCCAGCGGACAGAGAATCGAAGGAATATGGAAGAATGGCAGACTTCAGTCAGATTGTTCTTTCATAACCGAAGGTTTGAGTTATTTATTAATTTCTTCTATACAGAAAAGTCCACAGACTTCGAGACATAGGAAAGATCAAGTCCATTTAGCGTGTGTCGCAATTTTAACACCTTAAAAAATAGTTTTTTTATAGCTATGGTAACTGCAGCGACTATGAAAAAAGCTGTGTGGTTTTCATAGAAAATAAGGGTACCTGTAATTCATTTGAGAATGTTATAAATCGCTTAAAGAAATTTCAAATCTCTTGGATTTCTATTAATATTAAATAAATTTTATTAAAAATTGAACTAGAATTGTTAGTATCATTAAAAACAATTGAAATTCAAAAATTGTATCAGTCAAATTCCCTCATTCAAGGTGAATATTAAAGTAAATATAAATACAGCTCATTCTAAGCTGCACTTATCTTTAAGAAACATTTAAATCATTAGTGCAATTGGGCCTGAATGCCATATCAAATGAATAATCTATATATATAAATCTGACTGTCCTGACTGATACTGACTCATCAACGCCCAGACCAAACCCTTGACCCTAGAAAGCTGAAATTTTGCACAGGGATTCCTTTTATGATGTTTACGTAAGATAAGAAAGGATTTTTAAAAATTCATCCCCTAAGGGGGTAAAAAGGGGGGTGGAATATTACAATATTTTTTATTTAAAAAACGGTCAAGTTTCCGAAAAAACTCTGAAACACGTATATTTTATTTTCTCTTTTTACATATTTTCAGATTTTTTAAAAAATGTATACAGGGTGTTTCGAAAAATCTGGTCATTGATTAATCACGATCCTGCTTTAAAGCGCTTGACGTAAAAAGCTGATTTTTGGAAAACGGATTGACTTTAGGGTGTAGAGGTTCGATAAGAAGGGATTTTTCGAAACTCGAATTCTAAGGGGGTGAAACCGCCCCTCAAATATTAGAATATTTTTTATTTAAAAAACGGTCAAGTTTCCGAAAAAACGCTGAAACACGTATATTTTATTTTCTTTTTTTACATATTTTCAGATTTTTTAAAAATGTATACAGGGTGTTTCGAAAAATCTGGTCATTGATTAATCACGATCCTGCTTAAAGCGCTTGACGTAAAAAGCTGATTTTTGGAAAACGGATTGACTTTAGGGTGTAGAGGTTCGATAAGAAGGGATTTTTCGAAACTCGAAATCTAAAGGGGGTGAAACCGCCCCTCAAATATTAGAATATTTTTTATTTAAAAACGGTCAAGTTTCCGAAAAAACGCTGAAACACGTATATTTTATTTTCTTTTTTACATATTTTAAGATCTTTTTAAAAATGTATACAGGGTGTTTCGAAAAATCTGGTCATTGATTAATCACGATCCTGCTTAAAGCGCTTGACGTAAAAGCTGATTTTTGGAAAACGGATTGACTTTAGGGTGTAGAGGTTCGATAAGAAGGATTTTCGAAACTCGAATTCTAAAGAGGGTGAAACCGCCCCTCAAATATTAGAATATTTTTATTTAAAAACGGTCAAGTTTCCGAAAAACGCTTGAACACGTATATTTTATTTTCTTTTTTACATATTTTAAGATTTTTTAAAAATGTATACAGGGTGTTTCGAAAAATTGATTAATTGGTCATTGATTAATCACGATCCTGCTTAAAGCGCTTGACGTAAAAAGCTGATTTTTTTGGAAAACGGATTGACTTTAGGGTGTAGAGGTTCGATAAGAAGGGATTTTCGAAACTCGAATTCTAAGGGGTGAAACCACCCCTCAAATATTAGAATATTTTTTATTTAAAAACCGGTGAGTTTTTCGGAAAAACTCTTAAACATGTATATTTTATTTTGTTGTTTTACATATTATAAGGTTTTTTAAAAATTTATACAGGGTGTTTCATAAAATATAACCATTGAGTAATCACGATTCTACTTAAACTGCTTGACGTTTAAAGCTGATTTTTGGCAAACGGATTGACTGGGGGGTGTAGAGGTTCGATAAAGAGGGGGTTTTCGAATTTCAAATTCCAAGTGGGTGAAAACGACCCACAAATATTACAATATTTGTTTTTTAAATACGGCGAGCCTTTCGGGAAAACACTTGGACACGCATAATTGATTTTGTTTTTTTACATATTTTGAAATTTTTTAAAAATCATACAGGGTGTTCCAAAAGTTGGGTAATTGATTAATCACGATTCTGCTTAAACTGCTTGACGTAAAAAGCTTATTTTTTGGCAAAGGGATTTTCGAAAGTCAAATTCCAACGAGATGAAACTACCCCTCAAACATTATACCAAGTTATATAATAATATCGCCATATTGTTTTTTCTCATGCTGACATAAATGTAAGAAAATTTTATCTTAGTTTGTATGTTAATGGAAATTCTTGCTTTGCTTGATCATCACCATTACAAATGATTAATCCGACGCGAACGAAGTCGCGGGTACACACTAGTAATTAATAATGTACATTATAATAATAATAAATTTTATATCATAGTGTGTATTAAAACTACTAAACCACTTTTAAATTGATATTATATTAACAACTTTTGTTTTTTTTAATCAAAAAAAATTAAAGTAACAAATTTCTCAATCAAAATATTTGTGGTACTGAAAAGGACCTTTATTTTCCCATGTTCGTCAAGGTAGGTAATGGGCAAACGGTAAAAAAAACGGGATAATGAAATTTAAAAAATTACAAAAATTGTTTAAAAATCCCTCCCTCTTGCATTAAACAATAACCCAAACGATCATAAAATCCCCTCCTTACATTGGATAACATATCAGGGGTGACAGTGTCAAAGGCATTAAATATTTTCTACCTTAACTGCTTCAAGTTTTGAATTTCTTCATGGCAGTAAATTTTAGATTTTATGTACCTCCATAAAAAGAAATCATTCACCGAGAGGCCAGGCGAAATTAAACGTCAGTCTAAACATGGTCTAAACAAAACTGTCATTTTTGAAAACTTGTCAAAATTTGGACACACGCTAAATGGACTTGATTTTTCTGTCTCGAAGTCTGTGGACTTTTCTGTATACTACGTATTTTTGGAATCGAAAAAAACTATTAAGTATTTACTAGTTAAATACTTAATTGATTTTGTTAAAATACTTAAGTTTTACTAATTATTAACTAGCAAAGGTTTACTGGGTTGATCTAAAAGATCGCTATATAATTCGATGGCATCAATTAATTGTTTAGTAGCCTCGTCAGACCCATCCATAGAGGGTAACAAGGGCGCTGCTGTGCGTAAATCAAAATTTTCACCCATATTTAACACTACTATTCTTAATATCTACACAATTTTTTATTCTACTAGTCAGGATTGCACGGGCTCGAAAAAAAGTTTGATTTGTTGCATCAAAATTGTTTACTGGGTTGATCTAAAAGATCGCTATATAATTCGATGGCATCAATTAATTGTTTAGTAGCCTCGTCAGACCCATCCATAGAGGGTAACAAGGGCGCTGCTGTGCGTAAATCAAAATTTTCACCCATATTTAACACTACTATTCTTAATATCTACACAATTTTTTATTCTACTAGTTAGGATTGCACGGGCTCGAAAAAAAGTTTGATTTGTTGCATCAAAATATTCTTTAAATTTTTTGTCAATATTTTTTGAACTGCATCCTTCATTTAATTTACTAAATTGCTTTTCTAACAATTCTAATTCAGGTAATATTTTATTATTTCTTTCTAAATTTCTCTGTCTTAAACTCTTCCGGTTCGTTAGTAACTTTTTCAAGAAACTTTTTAACGATCACGTACAATCCCTTAACTACTTATAAGTTTAAACTACTCATAAAAATCTGAAATCAACTCATAATAACTAACTTTAAACCCCGTATTACTACTTACTAAACTAAACCAGCTCTTGACTTCTTCTAATTTCGGATCTTATTTTCCTCTCCAAAGACTTCTTTAATTTTTGGTATCCATACGCAAAAACTACTGCCAAAACTAGACAGAAGGAGATGATTCCTAATGTATTTTGTTAAAAGTAATTAAGTATTTATTACATTGAACAACACAATTTACCTCTATAGGCTTGGTGCATTTCAGTTGATTTCAACAAATTCCGACCGCAGCGCACTCTACGGCAGAAATCAGAAATTATCAATATACGAGTATAGTTCACGCCGCCGTCATGTTGATCGCATTAAAATAATATTGAAATCGGGGTTTCATCATAATATTTAAGTATTTTAGTTTTTTGCTAGTGCAGTTATTGAGACTATAAAACACTCAGGTACGAGGTTTGTGTGATGTAACGCTGTTTCGGGTAGTGAAAAATAAGTGAAAAAGAATTCGAACTAGGTGTCTTGTTGTGTTGTGACAATTTCAAATGTTAATAAAATTGCCAATAAAATGTTAACGCCTAAAGGAGAGCGTAATTAGGGCGTTGTTGGGTGCAATATCATTCAATAACTTAACTTTCCCGTATATTCAACTCTTCCGAAACAATATTTTATAGCTTCATAATTTCTTACACCGATTTGATCAATAGCAAAAATGGATTCAAGCAGTTCGACGAAACAAATGAGTAAACAAAGTGCTCGTTACATAATCAAAAAATTAAATAGACATATACTATGAGAGAATGATATACCGTGCTGGCAACTGTTACTTTTGGGTCGGAATTTACATGTGTCGAAGTAAATTGCATAGGGATCTTATTAAGTCGGAGTGAGAGAAATGCGACCGACCGACGCGACGCGCGACGGTATGCTGTTGCAGCGTTGCCGATACGCCTTTCCTTATCAAGTAAAGTAAAATCACGATTGCAAACCGCTTATTTTATAAGCCAAAGACTTTTTTTTTCAAGAGATAACTAGATAAAATCATTAAGTTTGTAATGTTTCTGAGCATCTGAAATGGAATTATAAGGATATTGTTATGGTGTCATTTTTTTATAACGAGGAAACGTCAGTAATCGCGATAATTTAAAAACTCAACTTTTTAACAGGCCATAACTCAAGAACCACTTTAGATATTGAAACTTTTTTTATTTTCAAGATCTGATATTTTACAATATGTTTACATAAGAAAAATTCGATAAGGTTGTTTTTTCCATTCAAAAATTGTAAACAATCCATCCATTTACTTTTAGAGCATAGCAATTTTCAGCAATCGTGTAATTTTTTTATTGATAAAGATTTTCACATACTGTCTACAAAGAAAATACAGCAGAAATATTAACAAAGTTCTTGAAAAAATTACAATCTATTATTTCTAGTAGATTTCGAGATATCGATTTTTGAATTCAGAGTTCTAATAGCGCGACCACTATCGAACACCCACTTAATTTCCCTTATTTTTTACCAAAAATGCAAGTGTTTCTAGCTTGCACTTAAAAAAATTCAAGCTATAGGGAAAATTACAACGACTCGTTAATAAATAAACAAATCAAGTATCACGAGACGTAATTAAATCGTGAAGCTGAACGCATGACGTACACCTTTCCCTAGAACCGGTCGACCGGTCAACTGCGACAAATCTGCTATATCCCCTTCCACGTCTCTTAGCGATGTGCACAGTTTCTCGGTTTATTTCATACGTTTGGCAACGTGTTTACTGTCCTCTCTTTGTTCAGTACATTATAAACGCATTGTACTCTTCTTACATACGGAAATCTCGACCCAAGACTAACCTTTGCCAGCCATTAGTATACTTATTTTTCTTTGTGGTTGAACAGGTGGCGTGGTTATGAACACGGAATACTGCAAGATGCCCGACCGGAGGTTCCAACTGGAGCTGGAGGACGACCTAAGGCCCGCCGGTCAAGAGTACCTGACCAAGGACAAGAGAGCCCGCCAGATTCCGGACGGGTGCTATGACGTAGGCGAGGGCATATACGACCCTTATATTAAAACAGTGGTACGATATCCAGCGACGGCGAGGAAGAGTAGTACGGTATCGGACGCACTACTTCCGGAATTGGATAAGATATTCGAAGGTGATCTTAAGAGGCAGTCGTTCTTCGCTGAGGTGAGTTTATTGTTGTTGTTTTTAAATATTATCAACCAAAAATATATTTGACACCAATTAAACTCCTAGTTGTAAAGAATGTAGAATGAGTAAGACGGGAGGTTAATCAGTGCGATCTTAAAGGTCTATTGTGCCCTCCTTCCTTGAGTCATCACCTCGGTCATCACACAATCTATAACCCATCATATCCCTGTTTTAGAGGGGACCAGGTATTTCCCATCCTTCTCTGACAACAGTTCTTCCTCCGAGGGTACACACCCTTCCACGGTTGGAGTTTGCCCCTCCGTGCCGCTCTTCACTCGAAGAGCTTGCCTCTGGCTGAGGAACCCGTGAGGTGGAGGCTGGAGTCTCCATTTTCTCCACCTCTTTCACTTGGTCTCTCCTTAGACCTGATACCGATGTTGTATAATAGAGGATATGTCCCTCTTTCTCTATTGCCTCCTTGGATTTGAGGTCAATTCCTATTGTGAGGACCTGACCATGGCCCTTCTCCCCCGAGTTGATGACTCGCCAACTCGATGTCCTTACATTGAAGTTCTGACCCTGGGTAAGGCTCAGCAATTAGGTGGTGTCTTTTCCCTTGCTCCTCGGCAGAAAGACCGTTATGGCCGCCCCTTTAGGGATGATTTCTCCCTTCATTGCAACCAGTTCCGGCTCTTGCCAAATTTTAAGCTTAGGTGCGATTTCCACCAACCAATTCGCCGATTCTTTAGATAACCAATCTATGAGGATCATGCCCACCCGTTGTGTTGCGATCCGATCGCCACTACTTCGTCCAGTATAGCCTCTTCTAGAGACGTTTGCTGGTCGGTGGTTAGAGCAATCTCTGGGAAATCCTTTGGCAGCACCGCAATTTTCACTTGTTTCTTGGTTTCTTTACTCTCCCCTTTTCGGAGGAGTGTTTTCGCTTTTGCTTCCTCTGGAGCAAGTCCTTCGTGGACCAGTCGGAGGTTTCTCCGTGCTTCTGCTCCGCTAAGACCTACTCTCAGAGGATAGTCTAGCCCGCCTGGTTGACCCAGGCCGGGTAGGCGAAACGGTAGCTTATGTCGCTTATTGAGTCTAGAGGTAGGCTCCCGCGACCCTTGCTGGAGAAGGTGGTAGCTTGTGTGCCACTTGTGAAGGATAATGATAATCCCAAGCAAGTGTTAGCCGCCCCTCCTGTAGTGTCTTTGGATTTGGTCCCTTGGAACTTTCATTTGTAATGTTCCCAGTGTCGCTAGGGAGCTTCCCACAGCTTCACCGGTGGTGTTTTTAATACTAGATCTCATAATGTTGCCACGAGTCGCTAAGGATAGTCGGTCCACTTCTACAGAGCCCCGCATGCAGAAGTAAGGGGTAAATACAATGGGGTGCCCCCTGATGCCCCAAGGTTGAGGCCAGTAATGGCTAGTCCTCTATCTAACTACGCATGCCTTTGACCTGGTCCCGCTATCGTAGGAATTAGGTTTTTGGTGAGGTTGTCTCCTCTTGGTCCAGGCGGTTAAGCCAAGACCCCCCACCCTCTACCCGCGAGACATGACCACAGTCAGTAGAGGGTGCCTGGTATGACGGACAGGGGTAGTCCCGTCCGGCATCGTTATATGTCTTGGTGCAATTCCCTGGACAAGACACTACAGCGGGACAAGACAATGAGATGCTTCTTAGACCGAGCTAAAGTGCTAGAGGAGATTCCTCCAGCACCTGACAAGGAGCTTCCCCACCAACGACAAGGTCTTGCTTCTCCTAGGGGAAGAACTTTTAGTTACGTAAACGGTCAATTATTAGAGAAAATATAGGAGGTACGGCAAAAAATTTAATACAAAAAAAGGATTTTTATTTTATTATATCTATGAGGGAGTAGTAAATTTAAGTATTCAGGGTCGGTCATAAAGTCGTGGCACATAAAAGTTTCATTTTTTTGAAATAGAACCCCCTGTATCATACTGCATATTTCAATTCTAAGCAAAAATATAAATACACACAATGTACCCCAAACCAACCGTTTCCCAGTTATTGGTTTTTGAAAATATCACTGAAACAATTTGATTTAATTAGTTTCGCTATGTTCAGTTACAGCGACCCTGTATATTTATAATTAATTTATTTTTGTTTTCAAAAATATTTTGATTATAAGAAAATATGTAAAATTGGGCAACGCTGTGCCGGCCAAGCTTAATCACGTGACTAAAAGTTTGTTTGATATGAACAATAAGTTTGTATTGTAGCTAACTATAAGTTTGTATTGTAGCTAAACCGAGTCTTGGAGGGTTTAGGGGTCGCTACAGATAGAATTGAATGTACTAAGCTCATATTATTTTGTATTTCTAGATACGCAGTTCGTTACCTAAAAGTAACGAATTACTGGCGCAATTGCTGAAAACTAAAAAGAAGTACGAAGCGAAAACGGTACTGTGGATTCCCAATTCCGCCCAGGAGGAATGGATAACGAAAAATTGCCGAGCCGCCAAGGAACTGCCCACCAAATACAATCCTGACCTGTACGAGCATTGGACGAAAGGTACTTCGTCCCTGGACGACATTCCTCTTGAAGACGTCGGTTCGGAATCGGAGATTGAAACTGAAATATTTGATGATACTGTGACTGGCACAGAATCAGATACAAAGTAAGAATCCAAATATTTTTATCTTTTATATTAGTTAATCCGCGCGACCTTTTAGATCTGTTATGTTCCTAGATCATATATACTTATCCTAGATCATTTATACTTACGTGGATAAATCAACGTCACAAGTTTAGCATTAAAAATATTTCCAACATCACGACATGCCATTTTCAAACCTTCTTTATTGCACTTATCAAACGTTCAATAAGTTTGTCTTTCTCGAAGACCTTACTTTGCACATGCGCATTAAAAGTTAAACGTATTTCCAAAATAATCACAATTTTATACAGTTTAGAAAGTACAAATTATACATTGTTATGGAAACCAACTTTACATTGTCATCATATTATCATAATCTTATTTCCATTGTGTAACGACGCTTGTTTTTTGCGTTTTTTATTTTAAAAATTGTATTAATTACTGTTTTATCGACCGCTTTTATATAGCCAAGGATCCAAGTGTGTTCAGTGAGAAGATAATTTTAAGTTTGTGCAACTATATTTCTATTTTTTTCGTTGGACTTTCTAAATACTCGTAAAAATGACTTGAAAAGTCGTTGATATGTTTGCGACTGTATATAATATGATCTAGAATACTAAGGGGCGAATATAGAGCTCCACTAGCTCTATCCGTAAAGGCCTCACTGGTCGTTTTAGCTACTTACCATTTTACCTAGAGGAAACATTTTTATATACACCATTATTTTTTTTTCTGCTGGTATAATTTTTACGAAAGCGTAGAGCTGCCATCGCAACACTGAAAAATAATTTTAGCAAAATTTACACTTTTTCTGTAAATTTAAAATTTACACTTTTCTCTAAATTTACACATTTTCTGTAAATTTACAGATTTTCTGTAAATTTACACTTTTTCTATAAATTTACACATTTTCTGTAAATTTACAGATTTTCTGTAAATTTACACTTTTTCTGTAAATTTACAAATTTTCTGTAAATTTACACTTTTTCTGTAAATTGCATGCGAAATTTACTACCCAGCAGGACGACGCGTTACCTCTCGGCATTGACCTGTTCGTTACTCGGTAGTTACAAGTGAGCCTTGTTCTCTGCTGGTTAAGTTGCCATTGTGCCGACGAAGTACAGATATTCATCAGATATTATGGATGAATACATTAAAAACTACTTTCAAATCGGATTAAGTCACAAAGAAATTTTGACATTAGAGGATGGTTATGTCCTTTGTTATGTCCTAAGTTTACGTCATTTGCGAAGGCATTGGGGACGAACTAATTTATTTCGAAGTTGATCGAAATTCTACTTCGAACAGTTCGAATTCTAAAGTACTCTAAAATAATAGCTGTATAAGTATGCATAAAAATATTTTTATTTAACATTATAAATCTACATCAATGTTAGAATGTAATATAGATAACCAAATTGTAACTGTATAACAAAATAGAGTACTCTTAATATAAAAACGTAAATAAAATCAATTATTACTATGAATAAAAATAAACCAAAAAATGGGTAGCGCTAAAACATTAGGCGAATCCAAATGTTTTAGCATTACCTATAGCAAAATCCATATCTGTTTTAAAATATTCATAACTCTTATGAATGACTGGCAGTTTTAATTGCAGGGAGCATTTGCCATAGGAAATTGTGATTGATCTTCATGCAAAAACATGATCTGTGGCATTAAGGGAAATCCCAGAGGTGGCGGACAATCAGGTCCTGTTGCAAATACTAATACATCGGAACGGGTGAAAATACTTTCCGGGTCGCCTAAAAGCATATTATATATGTTATATCACATACATTATTCCAAATCAAATACATAATCTCTAAAATAAGAGATCACCGGAATATTTTTTAGTCCCAGGTTCAGTATAGACGATGAGGAATAATTCTTCAAGTATTTTTAAAGGGAGTGTGATTTCAGAACAAAATATACCTTTGAATATTTATACTGGGATATTGCTTAATCTTGTCATATAGATCGCATGTCTCCAATACTTCAATTAATTGCCTCAGTGGTTCCCTAATTCTGTCTTTACTATTGAGGACTTTTGTGAATAAACTAGAAACTAGAGAGTTCGATGGGAACTACACGTAGAATAACGCACCACTGTTTCCACTAACGCAGAAATTTACAGAAAAAGTGTAAATTTACAGAAAAGCTGTAAATTTACAGAAATTTTGTAAATTTACAGAAAAAGTGTAAATTTTGCTAAAAATATTTTTCAATGTTGCGATGGCTGCTCTACGCTTTCGTAAATTTTAGGTAGCGACCAAACGCCAAAATTTTCACACTCAATTTCAACGTCTAAGAATTTTTTGAAAACATTAAGAAGGCTTATTTTTGGATTTATCCAAAAAGAATATAATAAAATTGCACATCTATCCTTCAAACTTTTACTAATGCTGTCACATTTTTTAGAATGACTTCGTTTATAATTTACTGTCCGGACTACACGGAAGAGATTAAGGAGAAGATTGCTGACATTTTAGAAAGCTCGACAACCTTAATGGCGTCATACTAATACTAAGCTGGAAAATCAACTCGTACTCTTAGCACTCATTGTACCGCGTATAAAATAAACTTTCTAAAATAAAATAACGTTTTTAATTATATGACAAGGAGAATGAAGGTACGCGCACATTGACCAGAGCCACACTCGCCGCACGCGCCGCACGGATCGCACTTTTTTTTCTTGTCGCGCACAATGAGCTATTTTGTTTCTTTTTGCTCCTACTACACCCGTATTTGCTAGCGATGGGAACTATCGAATGAATTAGACTATCGAATGGTTACTGAATGAATGACTTCAACTATCGAATGGTTTTATTCGAATAAAATCATTCATTCATTTGTATACTAAAGCATATGTGACAACCTCGCCGTGCGACTAAATGGTTATCGTTGAGCCACGACTATCGAATGCTTTTGATAAATGAAATTTAGTATTCGTTTGATTTTTGTGTGCGTCAGGCGTCAGTGCATTATTAGTTCTTCCAAATTTTTATAACTTCACCTTATAAATACTGTGCTATTTTTGCGTTTATTAAAATATTTAAAATACTAAAATAGTAGTTTTTTTAATTGGCGATTGTGTGCGTGTGCAGATGTCAAAATTTTTCCGAAAATTTGTGTGATTTTCCGTAGCCCGATCTTTCAATTATTTTATTTTATATGGTATATATGGTCTATTTTTAATGGGAAATTTTGAGAAGTAGCAATTTTTAAGAGAGATGAGATGAACTTAGAATTAATTTTAAAAATACATATTTGTATTTTAGATGTTTTAATAATATGAATTAGTTGAACTTAATAATCATATTTAAGTAATGTGATTAAGTAAATGGTTATCGAACTCAAACTATGGGGTGAGAAAATTAAATTGAAAGTTTTACACGTGCCAATTTAAAAAAAAAATAACGATGTTTGTATTTTGTTTATGCTAATTCTCTTACATGTAGTTTTTTGCGAAGAAATATTTCATTTATTTTTTAAAGTAAATGCCAGTAAAAGTAAATATTATTTTTAAATAGTAATATAACAGTACCTAATATAAATAATTTTGATTTCTAATTTTTTATTTATATTTTCCTTCCATTACACTGCATGCTTAGAAAATTAATAAATGTTTATATTTCATGATTTTAAAGTTTGTTGTTAATATAATAAATTAGTTCTGTAATTATTATTATTTAATAAATCAACGTTGCCAAAAAATTTAAAGACTATATTATTTTTAAATAGGATCTAATATAAATAATTTTGACATCTAATCTGTTGTTTATATTTTATCTGTTTTTATATTAAATTATTTAAAATTTTGTTGTTAATAGGTATAACAAATTATTACTGTTATTGTTATTTTTATTATACCAGTCTCTGCTTAAAAACATTAAAAATAATTTTTCTACATCCAAAATAACAAGTATTATTGCAGTATAACAACAGAATATTAATAAAAAAATGCAAAATATATAGACATACTATCCCTAACTAACTAAAGCCAAACAATAATATTCTTTGCTAATATCAACTAATACCAAAATATGGCAACAGCGCCCTTCATAATGTATTTTCTGTGTAAATACTAGCACCTCAATAAAAAAAATAATGTGTCCTTATTTTTATATGACTCCGCAAAAAATCAAAGATGCCGGCTTCTTTCATAGCATTGCCACCGCTGTCGGGTTTATCGGAAAGAAACCTACGTCGCCGGGCGACAACTAAAATCCAGTTAATATTTTATTATAATCGATCCTGACGAATAAATGAATTTCATAAATGAATGAATTTTATAAATGAATGGTTTTTGCTGCCGAATTACTAGAATACAATATTTCAAGGCAGATGACGCATCTATTCGATAATTTTTATTCGAATAGTTTTCAACGAATGTTTTTTTACTAGCTATCGAATTATTCGAATGAATTGCAACTATCGAATGGTTCGATAGTATTCATTCGATAGTTCCCACTACTAGTATTTGCCAATCGAATTTCTCATCAGTCGCTTCCGGAGTTCTGGCTGCGGTGATAAGCGTGTTTTTTTTAAACGGTTTTATTTAGCTCGACCCGTACGGTATTTATTTATTTGTTTGTTTATTTGGGTCAAAATTAGAAATTAAAGTTTAAGTACCTTCCTGTTCTCAGATTGATCCGAAATTTGGTACACACCTTTAGTTCCGATGACAATACAATATAGTAATATCAATAACATTGTAAATCTAAGATGGCCGCCGGTACAAAATGGCGGATTTCATATTTTTCCACAACCCCCTCAATATGGGTATCAAATGAAAGGGCTACACTAGTAGAATACTGTGATTATGACAAAATTTAAAATCCAAGATGGACGTCGTTACAAAATGGCGTATTAGGTGAGGGCATGAGTAGTCGTGTCCAGAACAGTTGTGTCCAAGATTGTGTGACGTTAGAAGGACAGGTAAAAAAAATAGGTGATTAGATGTACCTACGTAGTTAGCGGTAGCTTTACCACCCAAGTTAAGGTAATAGGTTAAAACGTGCTGAGGACTGTATGGCATTAGGGTGGCTAAAAATGTAATGTCGCTAGCGTTTTCCCCTCAAGATTGGGCGCCTCTTGTATATTATAACCTTGCCTCTCTACTGGACCTCTGTGGGGGTCGACCGTTAAAATGTCCATTACTCGTGGGAACAACATGGAAACAATAAATAAAAAAACAAACAAAAATAAAAACGAAACTGCTACACAACGAAAAAGAAGGCTCGAAAAGGCGAAAGTAAAGTATAGAACGAAACGTGCAAAAGAAAGTGAAAATGAAACCTATAGTCGACTACAGAAAAGAAGAGAACGGTTAGCAACAGAAACACCTGAGCAACATGATGCCAGGTTAATAGCACAACGTGAGAGACAAAGGCAGCTGGTAGAGTCAGAAACACCTGAGCGTCATGAGTCCAGGCTAGCATCACAACGTGACAGACAGAGAGAGTTGTTAGCGTCAGAAACACCTGAGCGTCATGAGTCTAGGCTAGCATCAGAACGCGACACACAGAGAGAGTTGTTAGCGTCAGAAACACCTGAGCGTCAGATTGTAATAAATTATCAGGTAAAAAACCATGTAATAATGATGCACTAAATGAATTAAATAGAATGAGGAATATTCGGTAGGCATTTCCGTTAAATACTAAAAACTAGAAAATAAAAAATCGGTAATAAATCTTTCAAGTTAAACGGTTTTATCTTATGTGCACTGAAAACTAGAAAATAATAATAACAATTAGGTATTTTGAACTTCTAGTTCAGAAATATTTTAGTACTAGGCAGAATAGCTTTTAGGCATATTAGACTAAAATAAAAACATGGGGCCCCTCTGAAATCCTACCTATGGCAAAGCATATCTTTATACTTTGGTAGATCGTGAGCTCGGCGTTCGCTGGTGAAGCCGCCGCGGCTAGTTATTGATTGTCAAAATCTCCAGTTACGATTAGGGTGAGTCGATGCAATCCACACTTAGTATAGAAGAAAGTATTACAGCAATAGTTAATGGGCCCCACGTTTTTATTTTAGTCTAATATGCCTAAAAGCTATTCTGCCTAGTTCTAAAATATTTCTGAACTAGAAGTTCAAAATACCTAATTGTTATTATTATTTTCTAGTTTTCAGTGCACATAAGATAAAACCGTTTAACTTAAAAGTTTTTTTACCGATTTTTTAAATATTTCTCGACAATAAATCACAACGAACAAGAAATAATTATGAGCTCCTTGCTAATAGAAGAAAAAGAAATCACGAGAAAGAATCGAAAGTTATAGGTTCACAATATTGGCCAAAATCCACATTATTTCAATATTTCAATATGAGCCATTTAAAATTTGCGAACTTTCTTAGCATATTGAATTTCTAATCTCCTCTTCGGCTACCTACGCTACGTAGAGTTGAAGAAATTGCGTGTGACGTCAGCAGCACTAGCCGCATTTATCGAAAATCATTCTGGCCCAACAATGCTGACCGCATTTTCGTCGATGCGATTCGTGCGGCTCTGGCTACTGTGCGCGTACCTTAAAACTATTCTATATAGTCTGTCCAACGACAGACAGAATCCTTGACAGTGATAGATGTGTCTGTCATTTTAATTTCAAAGTGGTTTAGTTTATTTTACAATTTCGTCCATTTCGAGGGCATCATCCTGTAGCTCGTTCCTAATTATGCCGAAATCGACCCACATTTTTCTTCTATATCACATCCTTAGTGCCACCCTGATGAAGAAGTAAACAAAACGTCGTATTCAACTTTGCAGGGTGGGACCGTGTACACCGTCGCTCACATAGTCGCTTACAACCTAACCCAAAGAATATACCTAGCTAGAAAAAGAATGGACTCTGCCATACTGAAAAATGGTCCTAAAGAAGTGGCGCCATCTATTGAGTAGGGCTTGTTTTAAATGGATCAAAGCGCGGGCTTTTTAAATGAGAGGATTTATTGAATTTTACTCTAAAATAATTAAATTTGATTATTAAATCTTATTTTTTACACGAATTCAACAATACTAATAACAAGTATCTTTGTGATGTGTAAAAAATAAGATTTAACAGTATAATTTATACAATTATTAAATAAAATTAAAGCCAAACATGTGTAAATGTTACTTATTATTTAAAGTTTTTATTTATAAGTCAAATAGGTATTTAAACATCGTTTATTATAATAAAACAAAACCAACGTAATACGCCCACACATTGTAAATGGAGTAAATATAAATAGGTACTTAAATGATGGCAAAAATAAAAGACTTACATTATATTTTTAGGGCCACAAATAAAAGGAATTGTCTAATAAAAACACATATAACAAATTATAGTTTGAAAAACGTTTTAATAATCATTTTTAATGATTGGCGCTATGACAACCACAATACTTTTTGAGAATTTGACAATAGTATGACAATGGCCGTTGGAAACTATGGAAACTACAAAAAAAATCTGATTGAACGCCATCTGGCAATAACTAGTAGCAATTTCTTAACCTAAAAATTAATTGCACTACCACCTAGCGCCCGAGGCTGGAACTATTTTATTTGAAATTGCCGTGGAAACGGTGGAACCGCTTTTGCT